CGGCACAAAGCGCTCGGGCGGCCCGGGCCCTAGGGCACACGCCGGCGCCGGGTGCAAAGGCATCCAAGTCCCCTGGCGTGCCCCCAGACACGCGGCCCTGCCCCTGGGCGCCCGGGAGCCTCTAAAGGTTGAGGACCACTGGTATATATTAAAGCCTACTGCAATTATCAAAATCTGCTTATTGATCTTTGATATCAAATGTGCATAAATCCCATACATATTGGAAACTCTGAGGATATTAAGTTACATAAACAAACATTATTCAATAATGCTCTATTTACATACATTTCTTTGTTTCTGCCCCTGGGCGCCCGGGAGCCTCTAAAGGTTGAGGACCACTGGTATATATTAAAGCCTACTGCAATTATCAAAATCTGCTTATTGATCTTTGATATCAAATGTGCATAAATCCCATACATATTGGAAACTCTGAGGATATTAAGTTACATAAACAAACATTATTCAATAATGCTCTATTTACATACATTTCTTTGTTTCTTAAAAAAATGGTAAAGAACTAATTGGCTCATTTGCCTTTTTTTTTTTTTTAACAACAAAAGGACTTCTTGTCTGCAACTTCAGCACCACCTCTAACTTTTCTCTTGGTCTGCTATACACTTTATAACCCTAAGGTACCTCATCTCTAATGTTTCTTTCTACTTTTATTCTGATTACTCTTTTCCCTTTCTCCAACTCTGACCTTCATAATTTCTTCCCCATTAGTGCATGAAGTTTCTTGAACTTTCTTCAACAGAAGATACTAGTTTCTTTTCTTAAAATATTCATCTTTTTTCTGTCCTGTCCACACTACCCTTTTAATTTCCAAACTTGACTTCCCAGTATCCTCTGCTCTTCTATGGTTTTCTCAGAGAAAAACTCTTTGTAAAATCCGTATCTAAATCTGTTACTATCCACTGCATTCTTCCTTTGATCTATCAGTCTGCAATATCTTTCTTTAAATCCTCATTGGATCTTTGCAAATATTGTATTGTTGATATCCAACAACCTCCTCTCTAGTCCTACAGTGTATACATGTGATCACCTCACTTAGTCTTTATTGGCCCGTGTCAATTCCCTTCTACCAATGAATACAACTTCATATCCACCAACTGGTTTCAACCCTTTCCACAGCTTTTGCTCCACTCACTCTCTGTGCCTTCCACAAACTATTCTCCCGACTCCCTGTTGTACCGTTCATCCTGCTGGGTCTGAGCTACTCTGAGCTCTTCCGCCTTCACTATTAAATAATAATACAAAACTTCTACATAAGTGCTAAGTATTATTACTATCATACTGAAAGTATCTTTAATGATTTATTTTGCCTACAACAGATCCTCTGTTCCATCTTACAGAGGCTATTAACCTTTATAAATCCAAATCTAACACATTTCCTTTATTTCCTTCTCCCAGATCCCTTCAGCTCTTACCCTGTGTCTCACTCTTTCGAGTCAGTCTGTTATGGTATAGACGTTGCATTCTTTTTAACAGAATTAAATACAGAACTAAAACAAAATATATTTGGCTTATATCCGTTTCTAAAGAGTGTGTAATGCTAGGAGAAGGGTGGGCAATAAAACAGCAGCAGTTCACCAGGATTAGTCCCTAGTGGGCTGCTGTCATTATATTCACTCTGTTCTGTTGTATGTGAGATCTACTGTCCTGTAGTAACATCAGGTGTGCCTCAGTTTCCCTGGGCACTGCACAATATCTTGATGATGATGGGAATTTTGGTGTGATAGTCTCCCTCATGTACACAATAGCTGATGTTTTCTGTAACCCAAGCCTGAGAGGAGGGTGGAACCAAGTGACACCTTTTCACCCAGGGAAGCTGGACAAAGGCCTGAGGCAGGGCTGGCTGCAGGGTGATCACAGATCCCTTTGGCTGGGAACAGTGAACTGCAGCCAATGCGAACTGGAATTCCCTGTACCAGAGAAGCAAGTAAATATGGCAGTATGGGAGCCTGCAAAGGGCTAACCCTGATGGACTGGATCTGTCCCATGTGCTGATATTGGTCCACCCATGTGCTAGGACCATACAGCAACAACATTCCTAGCACAATACTATTTTTGAAGCCTCGCTGATTTTCATACCTTTTTCTTTAGTATTACTCTGTGTGTCTTTGGAGAAACATCCAGGACAAGCTCTGCACAAGCAGCATCTTTATTTGAAGCAACTGGCCTTCCTGTCCCCTGTTGCAATCTAGAAGTTCAAGAAAATCCAACACATATTCAGATACATTGCTATATAGAGTTGCGGTCTCTTTTGAAGACTGAATCAGAACCATACCCAGCTACTAAAAGGACAATTTATGCTTGACCTTCACAACACATTATAGAAATATAAGTCAGGTTATAATTACACAATTTCCCCTCATTTTTGGAATCACTGGGATAAACCATCAGCATTGTATTTATATTATTAAAAGTGTTGTGTTTTCAGGATTAGTAATGGAAGCTAAATGTCAAACTCAGAGTTCAATTTGACAGCTAATTTTTTCATTGCTTACACCAGTGTTTCCCAACCAGCGTTCCATGGGACCCTAGGGTTCCGCAGACCATTGTCAGGGGTTCCACAAGAAATCGTGGAATAAATAAATTAAATTTGTTTTCTTACAATATAAGCTGGCATCTCTCTCTCTCTCTCTCTCTCTAATGAGCTGGCATATCTCTCTCTCTCTCTAATGGCTCTTACAAATAAAATTTCTTGACAATAATTTAGCAGTAATTGAATTGCGCTCCCTGCTGTCAACTTTTTCTGGCCAAGCAAACGTTTTCATAGGTAGGGGTTCCTCAGGATATGAAAAATTATTTTAGGGGTTCCTCCATGGGAAAAAGGTTATGAATCACTGGCTTAGACCAATATTGTAAAGTTAGACTTAGTGTTTTCATCACAAATTATCTTAAATGTTCTATAATTCAGTTACACAAGTGTATGTGGACTGAAATATGGCAAGTAAGTTACAAGTAACTTGCCCTGTGGCAGTGCTGTGAACCACCAAGGGTAAGATCAAGTTCTGGATACATGTCCTGATTTTCCATTTCCTTGTATGGCAAATACTGGGATAACTATGGATGCAGCAATTTAAATTCCTAAGAGAAATAAATAATGCTAAGCTCTTCATCTTTCAACAATTAGTTGTACAGAGAAATCATATCCAGAAGAACCGGCAGACAATGTGCTTTGTACATGCACATGCAAAAACCTTAAAAGTGCATTTAATCTTTAATTTGTATTTCAACTAATCTTGCTTCAGTCTCCAATCGGCAGCAGATCAATAATAAGCAAATGTACATGTAGTGACACGAAGATATTATAAAAACGCCTCAATCAAAAATCAACTTCCCTCATTAGGAGGCATTCAGTGGGACTCAGTTCAACTGGAGATATCACAAAGAGCAGATGAAGATACCAGGTACTCATCTCACCTGTCTCAGAAATCATAAGAACAGCCGTACTGGGTCAGACCAAAGGTGTATCTAGCCCAGTAGACTGTCTGCCGACAGTTGCCAGCACCAGGTGCCCCAGAGAGGGTGAACCGAAGACAATGATCAAGCCATTTGTCTCCTGCCATCCTTCTCCAGCTTCTGACAAACAGAGGCCAGGGACACCATTTCTATCCCCTTGCTAATAGCCTTTTATGGACCTAATCTCCATGAAATGATCTAGCTTCTCTTTAAACTCTGTTATAGTCCTAGCCTTCACAGCCTCCTGCAGCAAGGAGTTCCACAGGTTGGCTACACGCTGTGTGAAGAAGAACTTTCTTTTATTAGTTTTAACCTGCTACCAATTAACTTCATTTGGTGTCCTCTAGCTCTTCTATTATGGGAACTAATAAATAACTTTTCTTTATCCGCCCTCTCCACACCACTCATGATTTTATAAACCTCTATCATATCCCCTCCCAGTCGCTTTAACCTCTCTTCATATGGGACCCATTCCAAACCCCCAGTCATTTTAGTTGCCCAATCCAAAGCCAAAGTATCTTTTCTGAACCCTTTCCAAGGCCAAAGTATCTTTTTTGAGGTGAGGAGACCACATCTGTACACAGTATTCAAGATGTGGGCATACCATAGTTTTATACAGGGGCAGTAAGATATTCTGTGTCTTATTTTCTATCCCTTTCTTAATAATTCCTAGCATCCTATTTGCCTTTTTGACCACCGCTGCACAGTGTGTGGAAGTTTTCAGAGAACTATCCACGATAACTCCAAGATCTCTTTCCTGATTTGTCGTAGCCAAATTAGCCCTCATCATACTGTACTTTAAATCCCCCTTGTTAACATGGTGACTATTCTGTGTGAACAGAACAATCACTACGTGCTGTAGCAGAGAACTAGACAATGGCCTTTTACCTATATGTTAAATTCCTGCTACAGATCATTCTGGTCCTTTCCTGTAAATGAAGAACCAAGGTCACATTTATGATACCTTAGCTGTGCAATAGTTCGAAAGCTTCAGGGGGTAGAGGAGTTAGTCTCTGCAGGATAAACTTAAGAAATAACAAATGGTCTGGTAGCACTTTATAGACTAACAAAACATGTAGATGGTATCATGAGCTTTCGTGGGCACAGCCCACTTCTTCAGATGACTGGAGATTTGAGTTTAGGATGTGCAGACCCAAAATAAATAGGGGGGAAGGGGGAAGGAAAAAAAAGAAGGGGGTAAGAAACAAGGAACAGAGGGTGTGAGAATATCAAAGGGTACGTCTACATTTGCTCCCTAGTTCGAGCTAGGGATGCAAATGTAGGTGACTGAAATTGCTAATGAAACTAATTTGCCCGGTACTGAAGTTAGACTTACCGGTCTGTAATTGCCAGGATCGCCTCTAGAGCCCTTTTTAAATATAGGTGTCACGTTGGCTATCTTCCAGTCATTGGGTACGGAAGCCGATTTAAAGGATAGGTTACAAACCACAGATAATAGCTCAGCAATTTCCCATTTGAGTTCTTTTAGAACCCTTGGATGAATGCCATCCGGTCCCGGAGATTTGTTAACATTAAGTTTTTCTATTTGTTCCAAAACCTCCTCTAATGACACTTCAATCCGGGACAGTTCCTCAGATTCATCACCCACAAAGGACGGTGCAGATTTGGGAATCTCCCTAACGTCCTCAGCCATGAAGACTGAAGCAAAGAAATCATTTAGTTTATCCGCAATGGCTTTATCGTCCTTGATTGCTCCTTTTATATCTCGATCGTCTAGGGGACCCACAGGTTTTTTAGCAGCCTTCCTTCTTCTAATGTACTTAAACATTTTGTTATTTCTTTGAGAGTTTTTGGCTAGCTGTTTCTCAAAATCTTTTTTTGCTTTTCTTATTACGTTTTTACACTTGATTTGATAGTGTTTATGTTCCTTTCTATTTAATCAATCCCTTGTCTTCATTTTCCCCACTATTACTAACCTTTCCCTGACCCATGTTTTCCACCATGGCCTAATTTGGTAAGAATCAGATTTTTCCTTTCACTACTGCTCTAGCTGATAATACTATAACTCTGTCTTTGCAGCACCAGAAAAGCCTCAATACTCAAATATTAATGACAGCTCAATACTCAAATATTAATAACCTTAATGAGGCTAAAAGAACTGGAAGACCAGTACTCATTAAAAGTAGAGATTCATTCTGTAAGAAATTCATGCAGTACACCAGCTGCTCTTCAAATTTAAGTGCTATAATAACTTGACTGGCAAGCTGCAAAAGTACAGAAATGAATTAAGTAACACAAGGCCATGTCAGATATTCATCATATTACCAAGTTTACAGATAAGTACACTGAAACACAGAGAGGCTAAGTTATTTGCACAGGGTCTCAGAAAAAGTCAGCGGCAGAGCAAGAAATACAACCCTGGAATATTGACTCCCCTTCTTCTATCTAACAGACTCTTCTAGTTGACTCTGTAGCCATCGTAAGTGTAACAATATGTGATATCCTTACACAGATAAGTACAGTATAACAGGAAGTTTTTTCAAAATAGCTTTAATTAATGTCTGAATATTCACCATTTGCTTTCAAAAGCTATTTTCAAGAGAATATAAAAAAGCGTTACCCTGAGAAAGTATACGTAGCAGCAATATAGATGAAGTTTTCATAATAAAGCTGTTTGCTGTCTTGAAAGTCATTCATGCTGCAGGTAATTTCTGAGGAGCCTGCCCCTTTCACTGAAAGCATGATAAAAGGTGGGAGGGTAGGTTCATCCCATGCATAATCCAAAGAGGTCATTGGCTTCACTTCAGTGCAGAGTCTAGGCTCTGCAACACCATGCTGAGTAAAAACAACTGGGACCTACAATAATGAAAGAAGATTTTAGAAAATGTTACTCATATGTGATTCAGCAGGCAGATGCTATTGCCAGTGTAGCTCAGAGTTGTGATTGTCTAGCTTTTCAGCACATTAGTTGTAATTTTTGGCATATGTTATTTCCCTGAATGGACTAAAATTTATTCCACAGCATTTCAATTCTTGCTTCTTATGGCTTAAGAGTATAAAGTGTCTTTCATTCAAAGTTCTCAATGCTTTCAATCTGCTGGGAAATTTTATTTTATATATAATCAAACTGAGGTATAGCTAAATTAGATGTATCCTACAATAATTGAGCATCAAAGCATGGAAAGAACTCAGTAAATCTGAATCAGTCTCCCAATCAAAGATCAGAACTTGTTTTTACAAGTGCTGATATGGAACTTACTGTAATTCTCCAAGTATTACCTCACTTCAGGCACCTTCAGTGGATAATGTGGAGGACTGAGAATCAGGTTTAGACTCTATTCCCACTAATGTATGTTATTAATGTGTTATATAATGTAGGCCGAGTTATAAGTCATCTACACCTCAGTTTCCTCATCTATGAGGGTTAATGATACTGATCCACCTTTGTAAAAAAGCTTTGAAATCTATACATGAAAAATGTGTGTGTTAAGTATAATAATTTAATATGATGATGCTCTCTTATAAGAAGCTCACTAAGAACTTACTCTGAAAACTAAACAGCTTTTAATGCTTAAATACACATATGCTTCTCCTTATTTAATTTTTTTTTTTATCACTTCACTGGGCAAACAGGTGCAGCTCTTTTACAGGCTAGCTGGGAATACATTGAGTACTCACGATTACAATTGTTTTTACTTTTCAATATATCTATAGTTCGTTACCTTGGAAAAATTGTCTATGCGAAAAGGAGGAGGTAACTGATCAGTGTCACCAAATGAGATGCGGTATGTAGCTCCTCGAAGGGTAATTTCAACTCTTAAAAAGTAACATTTTCCAAGAGTATCCCTGGAAAACAAAACAGCACAATATACTTAAAGCATTCATAAATGTGTGCTATTAACTAGTCTCTATGTCAGCATTCTGTAACCAATGATGCAATTAGTTAAACAAGTTCTGGAACAGCTTAGGCATATATTAAAATAAGGTCGAAAAATAATGTAATCTAATCCTGCTAAATAGCTTGACTGAACAGGATTTCGCCAAGATAGATGCACTCATTCATTATTTATTTTATGCAATTCTGTTTGAGTTCTTAATTTGTGCTCATGACATGTGCAAACTGAGTCATCTCCATGCTGATAAAATCCTTGGACTTTAAACACATTATTATAATATTAATTTTGTAAAAAGCATGTCGATTTCATAGCAAACAGCAAATGTGCACAAGAATTCATAGTTCTTTTAATTAAGATTCTTAAGAGAGTCAGAAAGTATCTGCTTTTCCACAGCAAACTAAAAGAAAAAGAGGTCAAACAAAAGAGAATTAGATACTGTATAAGATCTGTGTTAGTGTAGTCACAAGTTTAGGTATTTGCCGCCATCGGACATTAAAGACTTTAAAAATATATTTTCCATGTACAGTAAGTACCTCATATTGATATGGAAGGAGCTATTTTTGTTGACTTCAAAACCCCCAGACCAAATGCAGTTGGGAACATTCATTAGCCGTACACATAATAATTGATCATAATCATTACGTGGCCAATGAAACACAACACTGGAACCAGGAAGAGTAGAGATATAGCCATCAGGATTGGAGATGCCCTAATAAGAGAAATACAGATGGTATCACCACCACCATCTTAAAAACAATAGACAACAACCAATCTATATAGACTATGAAATTTGAATGAAGCAATTTTTTTTACATACAATGAATAGTAGCAATTGGATATTCATGAAAAGTTATTCTCATAATCAAGCTATAACAGCAGTTTATATTGTCACGCCAACTTTGATCCTGAAGCAACTCCAAATAATTTACAATTATACACACACACACACACACACACACACACACACACACACACACAAAACTCTTGAATGGAGGGGAAAAGAACCTACTGCCACAGAATATGTTGCACAATGGTACGAAGAGGGGATATTTTTGGGCAAAACAAAAACCCCTATTATTTTAAAGAGAATCACGGGATCTTTAATGTGCATACAAATGAACTCTTTTCCAAAGGCCTGACCCAGCAGCCTTACAAAAAACTCACACATCTAAATCAGCACAGCAGAATCAACACTATTGAGAGTTTACATTATATTAATTATACCTTTCCTCCTTCCCAGAGAAACTACTATGAAAAATGTTTATACTGTTAAAAAATATTACTTATTCGCCAGTAGAAATATCTTACCTGACCTCTGGCAAATTCCCGTTGAGCAAAGGCAAGCTTGTGTGTTGATTTATTATCTAACAGGTAACGGGGTGCAAATGTTACCATGCAAGTGTCAATATAACGACCTCTCCCCTTCTTAATATCAATACCTAATAATAAAAAATAAATAGTCTTTTAAAAATAAAAATATTTACTGTTTCAAAATATTTAAGAAATGTAAACTTAAAATAACATTTCTCAGATTCAATGCATACATTCTACAGCTTGCGCATATTTTAAAACAGAACAGCAAATGAAACCTGGTTTATACAATGCCATCTGCTATACTTTTTTATTGCCTATAAAGTGGATTGCAGTAGTTGGCAATCTAGTCTTCTCAGCATTACGGATGGCATAAAAATAGCTTGTTCTTCTTCCACTTCAAAAGAACAGTCCAAACCATCTTCAGTTAAAATCTGAGGGATGTGAAGAGTCACCATGAGCTACTCAATTTATGAAAACCAGATACATAAACACTTATAATCAAATACCAATTCAATAGAACATTCTGAAAGTTTTGGGACTGGTTCTGTTCAATATCTTCATCAACGAGTTAGATGATGGCATAGAGCAGGGCTACTCAACATGCGGGCCCATTTGTTTGCAGCCCACGGTGCAGTTCGGGCTTACATGGGGCTCAACATGCATCCCACAGGTGGGATACTTTGAACATGGCCTTTACTCCACAACAGTGAGACGTCTCCCAGGTGGGGTTAGCACTGAAAGATGCAAGTGGACAGGCTGGCTGGAACAGACACGTACAGGGTGTCAGCATTTCTAGCCCAAAAAGAGGAGTTGCCAGGAGCACTGGGCATTGTCTCAAAGAAGCTATTTGTATATATATTTGCATGTATTTGCAACCACACTTAAGTTGTGGCCTTCAGCATATGCTGTGAATATCATTGTGGCCCCCAGGACTTCCAAAGTTGAGAGGTCCTGCCTTAAAGGATTTGGGTAAAGGGCAGTGAGTAAAGGCAATGCTTAACAACAAAAACAAAACAAAAAACAAAAAGCAAAAAAAAGCGCTAAAATAAAATTTTCATTCAAAAAATTCAGTGGGTTGGCTTGGCCATTGTGCACAAAAACCATGAGACACTATATTCAAACTGCAGGTTACCGAATTCTAATCCACTTAGTGCACGAAAGAGAGGGAGGCCCAGTCTATCCATCCGCCCTCCCTTGAACTTTTCTTTCAAAGAGCTGTTTTAGTGACTTTCTTTCCACCCAAGGTTCCTCCCCATTTATTTGAGAAGGTCAGAATGCCTTTAGGAAAAAGTGCAGAATTAGATGAACATAAGAAAGGAGAAACACCCTGGAAACAAACATGGAGTAAAGGTATGAAGTGGGGGGCAGGGGGGGAGGAGGAGGAAGAAGGGAGACAGAAGACAGATCTAGAAACAAAAACACCTAAATACTCAACATGAAAACACACAAGCAACGTATGAGCTAGAAGCTACAGTACAGAGACATTCAAAAGAAAGTCCAAATGGTGCTTTGAAAACTACTATATACATGTAAACATAGACAGTCTGCAAGGATAGCTTGCAAACAGAGTCCATAAAAACCTCAAAGAGCTCTGAGGAAATACAAAATAAAAATAGCTTAGATAACTCATGCTCTCATTGCTTGGAGAGCACATTTTAAATACTACCGTTTCTTTTTAAATATTCTGTCACCTGATTTGACAGCATATATTTATAATCATGTTAACAACAATATTCATATGACATTTCCAAGTCACTTTAAGACACTAAAAAAACCCTACACATGGGCAAATCCTGTTTTTGTACTAAGAACCTAAATATCCAATGAATCTAAAACGTTAGCTATTTACTTAGGCCACAGATGTAAAACTGACAGTGGTACATTTACAGATTCAATTATAATTTGTAATAGCTTGTTTTGACATCAAGGCATTTGTTTCATGCCTTTGTAGTTAATATGGTAGCAAGATTCCTACAACGCATCAGTGGAAAAGGCCCAAATAAAGTAAGATTAACATTTTAAGTCTAGGAATGTGTTATTTGCAATGCAATGCTACTACCATTATAAAATAGCCAAACACAGTGTTGCTCCCTGATCTTTTAAAGACAAATGCTTTGGGAAAAAGTTCTGGCTTATGTTTTTCATTAGTTGATTCCTGAACAGACCCTCCCTTGTGAATATGTGACCTGTGCTGGCTTGCTTCCCAAGCTGTGCCAAATGTAGAGGAGGTAAAAGTCTTTTAATGAAAAGGAAAACCGCCTCACGGCAAATTTTAGAGTCAGATCAAAATAGGTTATTATTACACTCAGTGTCGGCAAGGTTTATGTGGCCACTCAGATTGCATTTTGGTGTGCTGCAGTCTGTCCATACTAGAAACTTTGATGTCATAATGGAGATCTCCTCAATCCATGTGGCGTATGAGATGGAACAGACCCGGAAGACATTACTTTAGTTCTACATTCTTAACAAAAGGTCAGAAGTTGAGCTGTATTTGGTAGGATTTGGAGTGTTTCCGAGCAACACCTATTAACAGAAATGAATACAATAAAGTTGCTGGGACTGTGAAATTTAGAAAGAGGCTAGTCAGAATTGATCTTTACAGGGGGAGGGGAAAAAAATAAAATCAAGAAAACCAAATGTTTCCACTAATTATAAATAATGAAGTAGGAGCCCTAGGCCAAGAGAAAGAGTTAAATAAAATTTATCTTCACTCACTATGAAAGCATCCTTAGTCTGCTAAAGGAAAGGCAAGATGGAGACCTTACATTCACTATAGAATGTTCGATATCTATAAAACTAATCTAGTCCACTGACAAATTTAAGCAGTTTAAATTCTGTTCAAAAGTGGGACTGGAGTATCTGACTATTCATTTTTACAAATTAACAACAGAGCACATACTTGTATGTCTTCAGACAAGGACGTTTTTCAGATAGGTTATATGGGAATTAACCAGAAAAGAGACTGTAAAGAAAAATGGAAGCTGCTGGGTTTTGTGTTCATTACAAGTAACACCATTTAACATTTTAAAGCACTTATCCCTTAAAAGTGTTGTAAGAATAAAGAGGGTAAAGTGCAGTAGGTGTTATTCTAACTTTTTAGATAGGGAAACTTTGGAAGATTTTAGGGTATTAGTCAAGCCCCTAGAAGATATCCATGTAAAAGTTAGGATTAGAACACACGAATTCCAGGTTACTGTGTTCAGATCACACCACTTTGTTATTGTATTGACCTTCTCTAGTTAAAGATTTGTGCCATGAGTATATAATGAGTACAGGCAGTCCCCGGGTTACGTACAAGATAGGGACTGTAGGTTTGTTCTTAAGTTGAATCTGTATGTAAGTCAGAACTGGCGTCCAGATTCAGCCGCTGCTGAAACTGACCGCC